ATTGCATCACACCTATCACAATCATCAAACATCATCGAAATCACAAACACACACGTACACATCAATTTCAAATTACCAAAGACCACACTACATATACTACTATGCACACAAATTCAGTAGACTACAACTAAGTTCGCTATTATAATCGGCCTAACATTCACAATACATACACATCATCTATCAACAACAAACACCCGTTATACAATAATTATCAGCCTCAATAAACACACACACACACACACACACAGGACTCCTCATTCACAGTCAATCAAGCCACTCTCAACTGACACTACACACATCTAACAACCAAACTCACCACACAAAACAACACAACACAGCACAGCACACGCGTCAAAACACTCACCCAACATATCAAGTACATCAACTCATTACAAGTATATTCAAATCTCTCACTAAAACTGGCAAGTAAACCATCACTCTATACAACACAATCAACCAAACATCCATACACACCTCACATTTCCCCACGATGAATATATTCACACACACACACACACACAATTATCACAGGTCAATCATCTCCTCATCCTCTGGCACTGTAAACACACACCGTCATCACACTTAACAACATCGAATATGCAACTACACAACTATTCCACTATCCTCCACCAGCAACACACAAACACAGACACGAACACGTACACAATAGAAAAGCATGTGGATTCCAGAAACCAACCATCTCTATCTTCACACTAACCCCGAAAGTCGTCAAATCGTTGAACGAATACCCACCTCTACTACCTAGTGTCTGCATGTACGTCTTGCATGAACGATCAATTGACTGATACCTTGTTGACGAGTCGTAGTGTAATCAGGGGCTTGTTGGGTAATTCACTCAGTGACACCATGGATACCAGTGTAATTAGCATTTCAGGAGACACAAGAGAAGGAGGCATGGGGGTGAGTGAGATTGTCAGTCATGGTGATTGTGATGTTGCTGCTTCCGCCACCGGTGGTGATGATGATGGATATGGTGACGGTGGGCATAGGGTTTCAGTGTTGTTCTAAGTCTGATGATCATGAGTATGATGGTGGTGGTAATGGTGATGATGAATGTGATTGTGTTTGGAAGGTAGTGTCTGAGAGTGAGAATGAGATTTGAAGAGTGTCAGTGTCCGTGTGAATGTCTCATCGGATGTGTGAGTGAGTGAGTGAGTGAGTGAGTGTGTGTGTGTGTGCGAGGGCGTCTGCATGTGTGTGATAGGTAGATTAGGAGTGATGAATGGATGAAGAGGAGTAGATGAGAGAGGGCTAAGCGGATATGGGTGTTTTCAGATTTACCATGATAGATGGCTAGATAGATAACTTTTTTGATTAATTAAAGGGATGATCCGAAGACCTCCCCACTAGCAAAAACTACGCGTCCGAGCGAGCCCGATTAGGGATCGTCGCAGGCTTCAACACGCCGAAGTGCAAAGGCGAGCCTCCACCTGGGGCCAGGGCATTCGTGATCACCCTGGTCCCGGCGCCAAGTAAGTTTAATCACGCTGTTCGACACACCCTGGCCTATTAAATTCAAACACCTTACTCTCATTCCACTATTTGCAAACTATTTCCAGCAGCATACACATGCACATTCTATCACCACATCACAACTATCTCATATCAAACATTACATTGCATCACACCTATCACAATCATCAAACATCATCGAAATCACAAACACACACGTACACATCAATTTCAAATTACCAAAGACCACACTACATATACTACTATGCACACAAATTCAGTAGACTACAACTAAGTTCGCTATTATAATCGGCCTAACATTCACAATACATACACATCATCTATCAACAACAAACACCCGTTATACAATAATTATCAGCCTCAATAACACACACACACACACACACACAGGACTCCTCATTCACAGTCAATCAAGCCACTCTCAACTGACACTACACACATCTAACAACCAAACTCACCACACAAAACAACACAACACAGCACAGCACACGCGTCAAAACACTCACCCAACATATCAAGTACATCAACTCATTACAAGTATATTCAAATCTCTCACTAAAACTGGCAAGTAAACCATCACTCTATACAACACAATCAACCAAACATCCATACACACCTCACATTTCCCCACGATGAATATATTCACACACACACACACACACAATTATCACAGGTCAATCATCTCCTCATCCTCTGGCACTGTAAACACACACCGTCATCACACTTAACAACATCGAATATGCAACTACACAACTATTCCACTATCCTCCACCAGCAACACACAAACACAGACACGAACACGTACACAATAGAAAAGCATGTGGATTCCAGAAACCAACCATCTCTATCTTCACACTAACCCCGAAAGTCGTCAAATCGTTGAACGAATACCCACCTCTACTACCTAGTGTCTGCATGTACGTCTTGCATGAGCGATCAATTGACTGATACCTTGTTGACGAGTCGTAGTGTAATCAGGGGCTTGTTGAGTAATTCATTCAGTGACACCATGGATACCAGTGTAATTAGCATTTCAGGAGACACAAGAGAAGGAGGCATGGGGGCGAGTGAGATTGTCAGTCATGGTGATTGTGATGTTGCTGCTTCCGCCACCGGTGGTGATGATGATGGATATGGTGACGGTGGGCATAGGGTTTCAGTGTTGTTCTAAGTCGGATGATCATGAGTATGATGGTGGTGGTAATGGTGATGATGAATGTGATTGTGTTTGGAAGGTAGTGTCTGAGAGTGAGAATGAGAATGAGATTTGAAGAGTGTCAGTGTCCGTGTGAATGTCTCATCGGATGTGTGAGTGAGTGAGTGAGTGTGTGTGTGTGTGTGTGTGCGAGGGCGTCTGCATGTGTGTGATAGGTAGATTAGGAGTGATGAATGGATGAAGAGGAGTAGATGAGAGAGGGCTAAGCGGATATGGGTGTTTTCAGATTTACCATGATAGATGGCTAGATAGATAACTTTTTTGATTAATTAAAGGGATGATCCGAAGACCTCCCCACTAGCAAAAACTACGCGTCCGAGCGAGCCCGATTAGGGATCGTCGCAGGCTTCAACACGCCGAAGTGCAAAGGCGAGCCTCCACCTGGGGCCAGGGCATTCGTGATCACCCTGGTCCCGGCGCCAAGTAAGTTTAATCACGCTGTTCGACACACCCTGGCCTATTAAATTCAAACACCTTACTCTCATTCCACTATTTGCAAACTATTTCCAGCAGCATACACATGCACATTCTATCACCACATCACAACTATCTCATATCAAACATTACATTGCATCACACCTATCACAATCATCAAACATCATCGAAATCACAAACACACACGTACACATCAATTTCAAATTACCAAAGACCACACTACATATACTACTATGCACACAAATTCAGTAGACTACAACTAAGTTCGCTATTATAATCGGCCTAACATTCACAATACATACACATCATCTATCAACAACAAACACCCGTTATACAATAATTATCAGCCTCAATAACACACACACACACACACACACAGGACTCCTCATTCACAGTCAATCAAGCCACTCTCAACTGACACTACACACATCTAACAACCAAACTCACCACACAAAACAACACAACACAGCACAGCACACGCGTCAAAACACTCACCCAACATATCAAGTACATCAACTCATTACAAGTATATTCAAATCTCTCACTAAAACTGGCAAGTAAACCATCACTCTATACAACACAATCAACCAAACATCCATACACACCTCACATTTCCCCACGATGAATATATTCACACACACACACACACAATTATCATAGGTCAATCATCTCCTCATCCTCTGGCACTGTAAACACACACCGTCATCACACTTAACAACATCGAATATGCAACTACACAACTATTCCACTATCCTCCACCAGCAACACACAAACACAGACACGAACACGTACACAATAGAAAAGCATGTGGATTCCAGAAACCAACCATCTCTATCTTCACACTAACCCCGAAAGTCGTCAAATCGTTGAACGAATACCCACCTCTACTACCTAGTGTCTGCATGTACGTCTTGCATGAGCGATCAATTGACTGATACCTTGTTGACGAGTCGTAGTGTAATCAGGGGCTTGTTGAGTAATTCACTCAGTGACACCATGGATACCAGTGTAATTAGCATTTCAGGAGACACAAGAGAAGGAGGCAGGGGGTGAGTGAGATTGTCAGTCATGGTGATTGTGATGTTGCTGCTTCCGCCACCGGTGGTGATGATGATGGATATGGTGACGGTGGGCATAGGGTTTCAGTGTTGTTCTAAGTCTGATGATCATGAGTATGATGGTGGTGGTAATGGTGATGATGAATGTGATTGTGTTTGGAAGGTAGTGTCTGAGAGTGAGAATGAGATTTGAAGAGTGTCAGTGTCCGTGTGAATGTCTCATCGGATGTGTGAGTGAGTGAGTGAGTGTGTGTGTGTGTGTGTGTGCGAGGGCGTCTGCATGTGTGTGATAGGTAGATTAGGAGTGATGAATGGATGAAGAGGAGTAGATGAGAGAGGGCTAAGCGGATATGGGTGTTTTCAGATTTACCATGATAGATGGCTAGATAGATAACTTTTTTGATTAATTAAAGGGATGATCCGAAGACCTCCCCACTAGCAAAAACTACGCGTCCGAGCGAGCCCGATTAGGGATCGTCGCAGGCTTCAACACGCCGAAGTGCAAAGGCGAGCCTCCACCTGGGGCCAGGGCATTCGTGATCACCCTGGTCCCGGCGCCAAGTAAGTTTATTCACGCTGTTGGTTACACCTTGGCCTAGTTAATTCAAATCCTTACTGGCATTGAACTGTAGGCATTTTGTTGGACGAATACGCTGGTGTATAACTTAATATTGGCGTATGTATTTTTTGGATTTTGAACCTATTGGACCAATGTTTTTCTGGCTTTGTAGTTACTCTTCCTTTTTTTGACGGTGGATAGTTTCAGGCTTATGATAATATATATATTTTTTACTTACCTCACTTATTTCATGGTCATTTGGAAAATTCGCTATTGGGCATAGTGCTGAAGATCGGCCAATGCAACCCCAACCGCTTTTTGCTTCTTGGCTTGTGATGATGTATAACTGTCCCGATTGAACTGACTGTGATGCAAGTACCATGAGACGTACACAAGGTGGATAAACTACAGGATTTCCACTGAATGAAGTAACCATTTCTTTTGGAGATATTGAATGTTCTTTGCATTCGTGAAGAGTATGTCTGCAACTTGTGTGGCTACTACAGGTTCTACTTTTATTCTTCTTTTTACACTTGTGTTTCCTTCTTCGCACGGAACCTGAAGAACAAAGATATATATATATATTTATATATACGATTGTACGACATGATAATATAATTGTTTAAAAGAGACTGGTTACTGAATATTGAGTAACAAAATAAATGTACTCGGAAAAGAAAGTTTATTTGAATTTTCAAAAGACTTATGACAAAATATCAAAATTGAACAAAAACATTTTACGTTTATGCTACGCTAGAAAACAAACTTCGTAAATAAATTATTTACTCATGAAATCTATCAGGAGAATAGAAGGATATATAAGTTCCATTTGATGTATTGTATAAGTTTTTTCGTTATACACAATGTATTAATGTCTTACCGACTTATAAAACAATTAGTTCTAAGCTTAACCTGCACACTATCTATTTTGATCTTCCAACATAAGAATACTTGTGATAGGAAACTACGACATGTTGGTCTGACACAACTGCTTGAATAGTATTCGAGAAATAATCTTAATCAGTCGCTCAAAGTGCTAACAGAAATTGAAGAAGAATCAAACATGCTGTAACTTCCTCCTTACCTCATCTTCGTGAAAGTAACATGAAGTGATGAGAACACTGTTTTAATGCTCTCGACAAATATGCATGCCGGCTTTCGTGATGTTGTTCTTCAGTCATTCAACACTTACTTTTCATATATTCTATTTATATTAAATATTCCCATAGTAAAATTTAGAACAAAACATTTAAGCGAACAATATTGTTTTCAATTAGATCTCATACATACATAAGTTTACAAATAAAAATTTAAATATAAACCAATCATGGTGTTTTGTCTATAGGATAATAAGTTGGTGAATATAAATTGTGCAATTAGTCATAATAGTAATAATAATATTAATAATAATAATGGTCTTATCGATAATAAGGATGAAAAAGTGAGGCAATCTGTGATAACACGAATAATGAAAAACAGTATGATTAAACAAACAACTGTTCAGATGGAAGTAGTCGATAAAGGCTAGTAAAAACAAATGAACCGATTAAGTAATGTTAGATTGTAAGGGAAGGAAATGAAACACGTTTATAATGAACATAAGATTAAGGGATGAACATCTCCAATCGTGGTTTGGCAAAGGACAGACAAAAACAATTCGTATCAGAATTTTGTCACACTTAATTGATAGTGGTCATGTAATCAAGAAAACGAGAGCCTTCAAAGTAATTCATCGTATCCCACCGAATCTTTCCAATAGACTTCGTAATCGTTTATTGTACACAGCTGAGGGGATAGGCATTCGAACTATTAAACCAAAACTATGTATTCAAGAAAAGTTCGTACAGCCATTATCCCTCCCTTGGCCTATTAAGACATAAGCAAATAATGACTTCTACACCACCCTCTGTTTATATTTTCAACCCCTTTCTTATCATCCCTTAATCTTATGTTCATTATAAACGTGTTTCATTTCCTTCCCTTACAATCTAACATTACTTAATCGGTTCATTTGTTTTTACTAGCCTTTATCGACTACTTCCATCTGAACAGTTGTTTGTTTAATCATGCTGTTTTTCATTATTCGTGTTATCACAGATTGCCTCACTTTTTCATCCCTAATATTGATAAGACCATTTTTATTATTACTATTATTGTTACTATTATTATTATTATCACTACTATTATGACTAATTGCACAATTTATATATTCTGTTTGATTGTTTTTTTAAGTGGCGCATCTCTTACTGTCTATATTGTACCAAGTTTGTGTTTAAATTAATAAAACAGGCGTTTTCATTTATATCAAGGGTATCTAAATATCTAGCCCGTGAATAAATGAATGCTAGGTGACTCTAAACTATAGCAAACCAAAACGAAACTACCCAATTAAGACCCTGACAAATCTTTATCGACCAATCAGATGCGTCTGAAGCAGAAGTGTGTATTTTGAAAAAAAAATGTCTATATATATATCTATATTGACCTTTTGGATCCCTTTTTCTTGGTGACTCTACAAACTTCTGGTGGAATTTTTCTGAGTCTCATCGAAAGAATTGACGAAATCGTCCGTAGGATTGACCACATTGCGAATAGTGCCCAAGGAAGACACTTGGCTATACCTTTTCTCCCTCCCAATGAGCCTGTTGTCCTTAGCAGTACTCAAATACTTAGATATGGGTGAAATCTGCTACGTAATTCGTCTACATCATACACATGTTCTTCTGTCAACTACAAGGTCATCTTACTGGTTGCTCAAGGTCATCATTCTGCTCATATGGTCTCGTTTTAGGCTGCTATAGTAAAATCGTTGAAAAAAGTGTCTTCGCTAAGAATATTTTGTAGTAAATGATCCTTAATTTGTTTGCATATACATATCCTAACTTTACAAACCAGTAAAAATGACAACGCTTGTAGAATATTCATCTGACGAGTAAGACTGACATTTACAAATTCGTTACATCTCAGCGTTTCCCTCTAACCATGTTGAGTATTTTAAATTTACTATGAGAAAGATATATTCCATTAAGCATTATAAAATTTCTATCATGATAAAAAACCAATAAGCATTGGGTTAATTCAGTTGAAGCACTATTGAATGATCAAAGAGATTTAACACTAAAACCGTAGAGTATTCAAAATAGCAATGTGTTGACATGAATAAACGGGTCAATGCAAAACTCTAACCAGATAGATATACATATTAAAACTGAGAATTCAGCGAAAAAAATTCATTTTCATAACTCTACAATAGTATAAATATATGAAATACAATTGACAATAACAATCAGCTTTGTTGACTGTGTGTGGGCGTGTTAGACATTGACAGTGAATAGAAGTACTTAAGTGCTGCAATCATATTAGTGTATAGGATTATGAGTCACCATTATTTAGATATATGAATGAATAACTAAATAGATAGAGGTCAACCTAAAGTTCAATGAACATGTGTGAAATAGATGATCAGAAAGCAAAGTTAATTCGGGAATGTGAATAGGTGAATATATTATGATGGAAAAGAAATGGGATGGATGAAATGTTGTTAGAATATGAAAACATAAAGTAAAATGAAATGAAACAAAAATGGAATACGGAATAAAGAAGGATAAGAAAAAGTTGTTATGCGAATGGCATAGTAAAGTCAAGACCATGATAACGAAAGAGATCGTGCAAATTGTTTTCGTACACAAAGTTCTGGCTTTATGGTATGTATTGCCAAAGCCTCTGCTATACAAAGCAAATGCAGTCGTGTCCCTTTCGGGAAACTTTGTCGGACTTTGCAGACTATATTAAACGATGTGTCAGATGCTGTGTCGTGGTCAGTATCTACATTATGTTGCAGTATGGATGAATTAATACCTCTACATTCTCCTTTACTCGACCGAACTGGAAGGCGCTCTCCAACACGGTGGGATATGTTTCTCGACGAACGTCCTATGTAACTAGCTCCGTAAGAGCAGGTGAACACATGAGTGAGTGCACATGGAATTAGTCATTCGAGGTAACATTTTCGAGACATTAATGTGCACCAGTGGATGTCTAGAGTAGGTGTTTACTTTATCTTATCATATTCTAACATCATATCTAGTCTACTACTTGAACAACATTTCACTCATCCTATTTCGTCTCCATCATATTATATTCACATATTCACATTCCCGAATTAACTTTGCTTTCTGATCATCTATTTCACACATGTTCATTGAACTTTAGGTTGACCTCTATCTATTTAGTTATTCATTAATATATCTAAACAATAGTGACTCATAATCCTATACACTAATATGATTGCAGCATTTTAGTACTTCTATTCACTGTCAAAGTCTAACACACACACACACACACACACACACACACACACACACACTAGCACTGATTATTATTGTCTATTGTAACTTATATATATATATATAAATATTTTTATGTCACATTGGGGATTATCAATTTAATTAATTCTGTTAATACGATAACAAACTTTAACCACATGAAAGCACCTTAGAAATATAGTTATTTGAAAATATCTTGATATGAAGCGAATTAATTCTAGACTTGATAACTATTGTTAAAATATGAAGAAAGAAATAAATGAACATTACATAAACTTCTCTACAGATGAATAATCTACAATGGTAAAGGTAATTATGTTCGTCTTACTTCATCTAGGATAGATTGTATTCAAAGGACAAGCACATTTGGCTTATGTTCACAACCATAACAACCAGAACAAATTGTCAGTGTCAATTACCTGGTTACAGTATTTCATCATGAGCTGGCATTGGTCAGAGAACCATTGGAAAAACTGGGAGTACTGGACAGCTGTTTCGCCCTTGTTTCGGACTCTTCACAGTACGCACCCACCGGGGTTCGAACCCAGGACCTTTTGCTTACAAGGCGAGCTCTTAGACCATTGAGCCACTGGGACCCAATCCAATGGCCCTACAAACCAATACTTGAGTGAAAATTAATGTTATCAGTCAATCAATAAAGAGAGAGAAAAAATACATAACTATAAGACGGGAGTTGACAATTTCAATAAAATAAAAATATTTCATTATGTTCTCAAATAATAAATCTTGACAAACACATAGATTACTAGCAAAATAGAAATGATCTAAGCACCGAATACATATATCTTGCCTATTCTGAAGTCAAGCTCATCAACAGTGTACATGGTTCGACTCAGTTCAAACTACACAAATTCATGGACATACTAGTAAAACACAGGAACAAATTCATCAATCGAAAACTGTACACAGTCCAAGGTGAGAAATCATCAGAATTTCATTTGAAAATTTTAATATACATATTCTTCGATAATAACACCCACCTGACTGACTGACTGACTGGTTTCAAAATAGAACTTTGCACAGTTGTGCAGCACTTCCAGTTGCCACAATTCACTCAACACACAAAGCAAGAGAACTTAGGAAAAAGAGATTCAAAACAGAGATATCACCAATTGTCTCCAAGCATTATTTCTAACCATCCCGACGACCACAACCAGGAAGCATACACCTTCCGACGTGGCTCACTTAAGCTAACTGTTATGCATTTCATGA